GGAGGAGTCAGAGCGGCTTCCAAACTGACAACCCTGGGATCATGCAATAGAATTAACACCTAACGCCCCAGCTACCATTCGCACCAAGGTTTACCCAATGTCTCTAAACGAACAACAAGAACTGGAACACTTCCTGGAAGAAAACCTCTGCAAAGGGTACATCCAACCCTCCAAGTCCCCTATCACTTCCCCAGTTTTCTTTATTAAAAAGAAAGATGGGAAACTACACTTTGTGCAGGACTATCGGAAACTGAATGAGCTCACCATTCGGAACAGATACCCCTTGCCACTCGTACAGGACATCATTGGAAAACTCCAGGAAGCCAGGATCTTCACTAAATTTGATGTTTGATGGGGGTATAACAACATACGAATCCGGAAAGGGGACGAGTGGAAAGCCGCTTTTGCCACGAACCAAGGACTTTTTGAACCAAATGTCATGTTCTTTGGCCTAACCAATTCACCTGCCACATTTCAATCTCTGATGGATACCATCTTCGCTGATCTGATTGCAGAAGGAAAGGTGTCAGTTTATTTGGACGATATTCTTATCTTCACCAAAGGCTTGGAAGAACACTGGAGGATAGTTCGAGAAGTGTTGCAAAGGCTAAAGAAGTATGATCTGTACCTGCGACCAGAGAAATGTGAATTCGAGAAGGAAGAGATTGAATACCTGGGGATGATCATTGGGAATGGACAGGTGAAAATGGATCCAGCCAAGGTGGCAGCAGTAAAAGATTGGCCAACTCCCACCAATTTACGAGAAGTCCGAGGATTTCTGGGATTTGCCAACTTCTATCATCGCTTCATTAAAAGTTTCTCACAGATAGCAAGGCCCCTGAATGACTTAACAAAAAAGGGAGTACCATTTGAATGGAAAAAGGCTCAACAGTGAGCCTTTGACCGGCTTCGACATCGTTTTCTAGCAGAACCTATCCTGACTCTTTGGAAACCAGATCGTCCCATGTGTTGATCATTATGGGAAACAAATTCACGCACTACCCTGTACGACTACCATTACAGCAGAGGAGATGGCAGACCTGTATTATAGGGAGATTTTCCGACTACACAGGTTACCCCTCCAATTTGTATCGGATCGAGGACCTCAATTTGCAGCGGTGCTCATGCGATTGCTTCTCAAGTGGCTGGGGATCAAATCCTCGCTGACATCGGGATACCACCCACAGGCAAATGGACAAACAGAACGAGCTAACCAAGAGGTAGAAAAGTTCCTTCGCCTGTTTGTAGGAAGACGCCAAGATGACTGGGCTGAACACCTACCAATGGCTGAGTTTGTCATTAACTCCAGAACACACTCAGCACATGGACTGGCCCCTTTTGAAGTCAAATATGGCTACCTCCCACACTTCAACATTCCAGTCGGAAGGAGGACAGGGAACCAGAGTGTGGAGGAAAGGTTAGAAGTTTTAAAGGAGGTTCGAAAAGATGTGGGAGCAGCACTACACCTGGCAAAAAGGCACATGGAGGAGGGATCAGGGGGTACAACTCCAAAGTACAATGTGGGGGACCTAGTGTGGTTGAGCAGTGAGGACTTGGATCTAAAGTTGTCAAGTGAAAAACTGGGAGACAGACAGCTGGGCCCTTTTGAAATAGTTCAGAAAATTGGGCGGGTTAATTATAAATTGGATCTTCCTCTCTCCTTATCACGCATTCACCCTGTTTTTCATGCCAGCAAACTCTATCCGTGGAAAGGGAACAATGTTAATGGAGAACAACCGGATGGACCGGGACCAGTGGAACTGGAGGAGGATGATGAACCTGAGTATGAGGTGGAAGAGGTGTTAGACAGCAGGGTAAGGTGGAGACGCTTGGAATATCTGGTGAAGTGGAAAGGGTATGATGCAGCGCATAACTCTTGGGAACCCTTCGCCAACCTACAAAATGCAAAATGAATAATCACTAGGTTCCACAAGAATCATCCAGATGCCCCCAGTGTTCCTTAATCATTGAGGACGATGAATCTTAGGAGGGGGGTAATGTCACAAACTCATATTATTTTCTTTTCTTTTCTTGTTTACTACTGTTTTACTCTGAAGCTATTACCTTCATCACAGACAATCGATCCAAGGGATCACTTCATGCTAACTGTATGTCCTACTTCCATTCTGTCATACTACTATTCCAGTTCTTTATCTTTCCATAATCTTTCCATAACCTTTCCATAACCTTTCCTGAAACACGCTGTGACCTGTATCTATTGTTGATGTCTTCTTCTCTTCCATCATTGCCTTCTCCCTGCCTCACCGCAGCCTCGTTGTTTCATTTACCCTATCACTGCCTCATTACTGCCCTATGACTCCTTAGGTCTTCTCACTGCTTCACACTGCCCTATGCTGCCTCCTTCCTCTATTGATAGTCAACAGTATTTAAACCTTGTGTCCTGTAAACCTAGTCCTTAGCTTGACCTCCTGTCAATCTTGGACTAGGTGTGTATCCTTGTACTTGCTTTCCTGCCTCAATATAACCTGTCAATCTCGGACTAGATTCTTGAAGCTCTCCTGATTACTGCCCTACTGTGTCTACTTATCTAGTGTTGCTCTTTGTGACACAATGTGCATTTCTTCCATCAGTAGTCGAAGCAACTACTTCACCAAAACATACATCCTTATATGCTTTAAATTAAGATTTGAAGCTGCCTTACATACCGACCTAGTCAATGTCGTTCTCCCCTGACCTGACCCATTGGTGGTCAGCTCATCAACTGCCTGCCATATCAATGCCACTTCTTTGTAATCAAGTCAATTGTCCACCTCTTTTGTTTTCAGCTCCCTCGCATGTGGGATCTAGCAGTGTCAGGTGATAGGTAATTGTTTCATGTTTAATCCAAATAATGTTGTAAGCTGGTTCAGCTTAAGCAACCTGCATCAAAGTACAGGAACAGGTGTCATTCAAGAAAGAAATATAACAGAGATCAGCAGAGACCTCCAATCCAAAGGAGTGTATTACAACTACTGTACTGTATATAGGCAACAGTAGAAGAAGGAGACCTGTTTGTTACCTTTTGGCATAGGATGACCTGGAATGAGTAAGTCTGCATAAGGACCAGCAAGACCTAATAGTATATTTACACATACAAAATGGCCTTGTTATTAACAAAGATAATGGGAGAATAAGTGATTTCAAGTTTAATGCAGCCTGCTGCACATTTTCATTCACAGTGCATTTTGGAATTTCAGATTGGACATTGTCTGTACTCTTTATCCTTACACCTCTCCAGAACTGAATCCCTCCCAACATATCCAAATAACCTATTCACATCGGTGATGCAGCGCGTGCCACCTATGCTTTGACTTGGCACAAGCACAAGAGTAATTAGAACAATAGTTGGTCAAAGCTTTGCTTGATCGAAACAAATTGAGTTTACATGCTCTCCATCAGTTGGACTGTTGAGTCTGTGATTTAGATCATGCTACTCAGATTGAATCACAGCAGAAAGGTGTATATCTTTTGATCTTCAGTCGCAGATTTGAATTGGTGCTTTAAATCTTGCTTTGAATCATAGTCTTTTCTTGAAAACAAGATTTAAATCATTCGTAGTACTCTGTTCCAGTTGTTTTGTTTTTTGAATTTGGACTTGAAAGCAATTCTTTGCTGAGCTGATGTTAGTGTGCCACTGTATTCTATTCTAGTATGAAAATAACTGAAAACATGATTTAAATCAAGACTTGAAATCAAGCGCACGCCAGTCACGTCATGATTCAAATATGAAGCAAAAATTTGCCGGTAACTACTGTGCGAGTATGGATTGGATTCAAAAATGAATTCCAACATGACAGTAAGCTATTGGATCTGACGGTTCCACTATTTGACTTACTGTTGTTTCCGCCTTTCCCTGAGGAATCTCCTCTACTGCACAATTTGTCGTGATTGGGACTTAGGACATTTCTTCATTTAGTCGAGTATCTAGTGTAAGAGCCTGGAAAAACAGAACAATGAAGACGGATGTGCAGATGACTTTGTAAGAATAAGCCCATTGAAATATGCAATGGTGTAAGAATAAGAGATTTATGTCTTGGACCACATGACAGAGAGCTGAGTATAATCTGTATTGCGCTTGCTTTGAGCTCGCAGCAATCGCATGAGGTACTACATGATTTCTACCTAATACTTATACTAGAGTAACTAAATCAGTGTGAACAAAGAACAATAAAACCTGTGGTGTAGTACAGCAAATGACAATAGATGACTGCGCTGATAATCAAGAAGTACGAAGCTGTTATGTAGCATATGGGTTAGAACAATAGCTGTAAAATGAATTCTGATAGAAATGTAAATCAACAATTCCAACAGACTTGATGCTCAACATGGTGGCGGTTGTTGGTCAAGAAGATTAGAGTCACATGGATGCTCCCCACAATTATTCCACTCACTAAGTCCACGGAATAGAATTCGGTGAATTCTTGGGATATTCTGATTACGGTCCAAGGACTGTGAGCCTGGTAAATTCTTGTCTCATGTTTGCGAATTCTGGTCAACTCTCAGAATGTCACGAAATCCCCCAAAAGGTCCTGAGAATACCCCCGTGTGCATTCTGCCATTTTTACACTGTGAAAGACGAAACCTCCTAAAGTCGGCCTTGTAATTTGTATGTAAGGTGTTCCTAGGCTAAATTTATATTCTATCTCTAGGCGCCACTGAGAAAAAATGGAGCTCAATGTAATGCTAGGAAGGTATTCATAGAGGCATTTTGGCTACTCAAAGAAGGAAGCTTTTAACTTATATATGTTCCACTGGCATTCAAACGAGTGTATTCACAAATGTTCGGCACTGGTTAAACATTGTTTGCTGAACAGGGGAGACCAATCCCAAGGGAACGTAAAAGGAATTTACAGGTTCTCGGGTGATAGCTAGTGATTGGACCATTCAGAGGAGTTGAATAGGGTCAAGTACAAAGCCTTTTGTTTGGCTTATTACTGTGCCAGAGGAGAAAGCCGTGAATAGGTAGAAACAAAAAGTAGCTGCTTCTGGTCCATATTCCATTACAGGGAATCGAACCCTGGGCTATCGTGTCTTATTATGAGAGGCGATAATGTTAGCCACTACACCATAACGGATACAATGGGAGATGATTTTTGATCCTTCACCAAATCGTAAACAGTATGCTCTTCTAAGTTTCTCTACTTTGAGATAACTTAGATTAAGATAACCATCCTGAGCTCAGTACCGACAGATTCGGAACTGAAGTACTGGAAGGACATCATTAATGACCTGACGAAATGTATGAACGCGCAGTGCGTAATGATCCAACGAACAGTCAATATGAGGTGGATAAGGGTGGATACTTAGCTGCTGGACGATGCCTGGGCTGCTGGGCGGTGGGCTAGTCATGCAACAGGCTTGAATAAAGTGCTTTTTTTGAGGGCGAAAGAGGGCGGGAAAGGGATTACTCGGAAGCCAACTTGGTTTTGTGTATTGCTATTACAATGGGCGTAAGTAAGGCGTATTTACACCAACCAAGCTTGGCTATTAATGTACATAGACTCAACAATGATCACTTTGATGGGAATTAAATGATACATGCGTGGGTGTCTGCGGACAGATGTCACTGATAATGCGTCGTTGAATGTATGTACTTGCTTATTATTAGTCTTGTCCTTTGAGAACAGCGATATTTGCTAATTCTGAATCTGCTTCTTGAAGCAAAAGCACCTCTAGGAACTATCAAATGCAAAGCCATTGAGAGTCGGAGAGAAATGCAGATGGCGATGAAGTCATTGGCGGGTGCAACGCGGGAGGGAATAAATTTAATTTCGACTCACGTCATTCATGTGACCTGGCTACAGTAGACATGCGAGGACATGCGACTTTTTTGAGGCGGCTTTCTCCGGCTACCTTCACGGTCCTTTCTCTCACTACTCTCTCGACTCGTTTCCTAGTCTTCCAGTTTCCTAGGGCTGAAGAAACAGGAAATTGAAAACCAACACTGGGTGCGAGTCAATATATTTCATTGTGAAATATTTTAAAAATATACTGAAGATAATCTGGTAGGAAATAAAATAAAACACCATAAAATAGGTTAATAATATTTTAATCTTTGATTAAAATATAACCATGTAATATTGTTTGAAGATATATAAAAAATATATATTAATGTGAGCCCAAAAAGTTTACAATTCATCTTTAAAATATCATTTACCTATTACTCTCTCAAATATTTTAATACAAAATGTTACAAGAACTCATATTTCTCTACCAGTGAGATTAAAATATTTCATGACATAATAAGAAATTAATATTTTAGACAAATCTTACAGATCTGCATCTATTTGGATGATTGAATTCAAGGTCAATATTTTAAAGATGAGACACTATTGAAGTGTTTTAGGGTGCATACCTCAACAACCTGACTTTTTTCAATCAATACAGTGTTGGAGGCATTGAAATATCTCCTCCGAAACTATGGATAAAGAATGAATTTGATATTTTAAACATTCATTCATATATGATTAAAATATTACACTGTTGAATATGAAAGAAATATTTTAATGATCAATATCTACAGTCTGAAAAAAAGTACTTAAGTTTCAATACCATATCTGCCACTATTTTAACATGTGATTAAAATATTATGCTCTGAAATATGCAAACAATAATTTAATCGGAAAGTTGATCAAAACTGAACTTGATTTTATGAAAACATTACAGAGGGAAACAAGCTTTGCAACAACACAATAAACTCATCAGTAGCACATGAGTATTTATAAATCTTTGCATAATACTAGTTTTTTGTCATTTGTTTTGCAGATGTATTTCATCCATTGCATATATACTTTTCACCTACTTCTCATTTGTTTTCATGCACATTTCATACACTTTTTATAACTTTCATGCACCTTTCAAGCACCTTTCATCCACTTTTCAGATAGATTTCATACACTCTTCATACACTTTTTATACACTCTTCATACATTTTTCATACACATTTCACATACACTTTTTATATCATCTTTCATGCACCGTTCATACACCTTTCATACCTTCTATACACATTTCATGCACTGTTCATACACTTTTTGACTTTTCATACACTTTTCATACAAATTTCATGCACTTCTAATACACCTTCCATACATCTTCCATACACTTTTCATACACTTTTCATACACTTTTGTTTTTCAATACATTTCATTCACCTTTCATACACCTTTCATCATGGACATTTCATGTACACTTTTCATACACATTTCATACACACTTCATACATATTTTATAACACTTTTCATGCACCTTTCAAGGACCTTTCATACACTTTTTATCAACCATTCATACACTGTTCATACACTGTTCATACACATTCATACACTCCTCATATAGTTTTGATACACTTTTCATACACTTTTCATACACTTTTATAACACCTTTCAGGCACCTTTCATGGACTTTTCATACACTTTTCATACATCTGTTATACACTCTTCATATACATTTCACACACTTTTCATACACCTCTCATACACCTTTTATACACCTTTCATACACTTTTCCACATTTCATTTGCATACACTTTTCATACACCTTTCATAGATATACATATATATCTGGTGTATGAGATGTGTATGAATTGTGCATGAAATGACAAGTGTATGAGTGCATGAAAGGTATATGATTTAAAATTAAAATGTATGCACTTTTCATACACTCTTCACATACTTTTCATCCACTTTTCATAAACTCTTCATACACTTTTCATACATTCTCCATATACTTTTCAAACACTTTTCAAACACTTTTCATGCACTATTTATAACACCTTTCATGCACCTTTCAAGCACCTTTCATACACTTTCCATAAACTCTTCATACACTTTTCATACACTCTTCATATACTTTTCACACACTTTTAATTCACATTTCATACACTTTTTATAACACCTTTCATGCCCCCTTCTTGCACCTTTCATACACCTTTCATACACCTTTCATACATTTTTCACCATATACCTTTCATGCACTTTTCATACACTTTTCCACATTTGATTCTATTTATCAAGAGACACTAACTGTCAGTAACATTTAGTGTTGTAACAGCTTGAAAGCTGGCTGAGAGCAGCTGGCTTAGATACATGTGAAGTGCTTCTCAGCTTGGCTGAAATCATTTGCTTTTATAGTACCTAAATATGGAAATTTAGGCTTGCTTAGATGGGATTATCAGCCATACACTTTTCATTTCATACACAATTCATACACATCTCATACCCTTCATATATGTATGTCTATGAAAGGTGTATGAAAAGTCTATGAAAATCAAATGTGCAAAAGTCTATGAAAAGTGTATAAAAGTGCAAGAAAGGTATATGATGCAAAGTGTATGAACGGGGTATGAAAGGGGTATGAAAGGTGTATGAAAGGTGCATGAAAGGTGTATGAAAGGTGTATGAAATGTGTATGAAAAGTATATGAAGTGTATGAAGGGTGTATGGAAAGAGTATGAATACACTGTCCATACACTTTTCATCAACCTTTCATACACTCTTCATACACTTTTCATACACTTTTCATACACTCTTCATATACTTTTCATACACTCTTCATATACTTTTCATACACCTTTCATATACTTTTCATCATACACCTTTCATGCACTTTTCATACACTTTTCATCAACCTTTCATACACTCTTCATACACTTTTCATACACTCTTCATATCCTTTTCATACACCTTTGATACACCTTTGATACACCTTTGATACACTTTTCATCATACACCTTTCATGCACTTTTCATACACTCTTCACAGACCTTTTATACACTTTTTATAACACCTTTCATGCACCTATCAAGCACCTTGCATACACATTTCATTGACCTTTCACACACTCTTCATACACTCATCATACACTCTTCATACACTCTTCATATGCTTTTCATACACTTTTCATACACTTTTACAACACCTTTCATGCACCTTTCATGGACTTTTCATACACTTTTCATACACTTTTCATACACCTTTCATAAACCTTTCATACACCTTTCATACACCTTTTGTACACTTTTCATCATACACCTTTCATGCACTTTTCATACTCTTCACATACTCTTCATACACTTTTCATACAAATTTCATACACTTTTTATAACACCTTTCATGCGCCTTGCATACACTTTTCATTGACATTTCACACACTCTTCATAGACTCTTCATATGCTTTTCATACAGTTTTCATACACTTTTATAACACCTTTCATGCACCTTTCATGGACTTTTCATATGAGTGTATGAAAAGTGTATGAAAAGTATGTGAAGAGTGTATGAAAAGTGCATACTTTTTAAATCATACAATTTTGATGCACTCATACACTTGTCATTTCATGCACAAGTCATACACATCTCACACCTTTCATATATGTATGTCTATGAAAGGTGTATGAAAAGTGTATGAAAATGAAATGTGCAAAAGTGTATGAAAAGTGCATGAAATGTATATGATGAAAAATGTATGAAAGGGGATGAAAGGTGCATGAAAGGTGTATGAAAAGGGTATGAAAAGTGTATGAAATGCATATGAAGAGTGTATGAAAAGTGTATGAAAGGTGTATGAAAGGTGTATAAAAGGTGTATGAAAGGTGTATGAAAAGTATTATGAAGAGTGTATGAAAAGTGTATGAACAGTGTATGAAAGGTTGATGAAAAGTGTATGAACAGTGTATGAAAGGTGTATGATGAAAAGTGTATGAAAGGTGTGTGAAAGGTGTATGAAAAGTGTATGAAAGGTGTATGAAAGCATATGAAGAGTGTATGAAAAGTGTATGAAGAGTGTATGAAAGGTTGATGAAAAGTGTATGATTTTCATACACTTTTCCAATTTCATACACTGTTCATACACCATTCATGCACTTTTTCATACACTTCTCATCTGTTTTCATACAATCCACATGCACTTTTCATACACTTTTCACCCATTTCTCATCTGTTTTCATCCATACACCTTTCAGACACTTTTCAGACACTCTTCATATACTTTTCATACACTTTTTCTTACACATTTCATACACTTTTTATAACATCTTTCATGCACCTTTCATGCACCTTTCATACACTTTTCATACACC